CGCCCGCACCGGCCGCGCCCGNGCCCGCGCTGGCCACGCTGCCTGTGTGCTCGTCGTTCAGCGAGTAGCGCGTGGCGTAGTGGCGGCGGCGCTTGACCAGGCCGGACGTGTAACCCGCGGACACGTGTCCCGATGCCGCGAGCCGCGCGGAGCCCGGGTCCAGGAGCTCGTCGAGCGCGCTGTCCGCGAGCCGCGCCGGGTACTCGCGCTTGCGGCGCGGGCGGCGGTCCGCCAAGAGCGACGCCGCGGGGCCCAACGCCGCCGCCGCGGGGTACGCGCCCGGCGCGGCCCACAGGCTGGCGTTGACCATGTTCAAGAGGAGCTTGTCCTCCTTGAGGCGCCGCGCCTGGCTCTGGAGCTTGTCGTAGTACTTCTCCTTCAAGAGCTTGACCATCATGTCGTAGTTGGCCGTGGCCGTGTGCATGGCCGCCGCGTACTCGTGCTCCGCGCGCGTGACCTGGTACTCCTCCCAGAGCCGGAGCCGCGTGAGCTCGTAGTCGCGCACCTGCTCCAAGGCGCCCTTGCGCCGCACGTACTCGCCGTGCGTGCCCTGCTGGATGGCCGCGAGCGTGGCCTGGAGGTTGTGAAGGAGCCCGCGGTAGTACGACGCGCTGCCGTCGGCAAACCCGGCCTCGAGCTTGCCGAGCCGCGCAGCGATCTGCTGCCGCCGCTTGTCTTTCTTGCTGCCGCCTGCGGTTAGTACAAAGCCGCCAAAAGGGGGAAGATCCGGACGCCCGCACGTGGATTCCATGGCCCGCCGCAACGGGCCCTGCAAACGGGCCAGACACCCGCAAGCCGCCCCGGCCGGCGCCGGGCAGACTACCCGGGGGGCGCCGGGGTGCTAGGCCCGCTGGCCCGGAAATGCCGCTGTCAAGAGGCGCCACAAACTGGGCACAAACTGGATGCTGTAGGGACACCCGGGCCGGCGCCGATATATACCAGAAGCCGGCACAGAGACGCACCACGGAGGGCCATATACATACTTTCACCGGCGAAGCCGTTGCGCCTGGTTTCGTCCATGGATTCGGGGCAAAGGCGGCGTGTTTGGGGGAAAACAGAGTGGTTTGTGGACTCTCTGCAGCCGCCGGGGCGCTCATTGAGGGGAGCCGGCGGGCGTGCACACGGGCCGTGCGGCGCTATGTGCCGGGCATGAGCCTTGTCTGCCGGACTCGGGCTTTGTGTGCACGCCGCGGTTTCTGGTCGGCGCCAGGATTCTCTGCCAGAGGGCCGGCCCGGCTGGCGGGACTGTTTGCAGTGACCGGCCTGATGAGTTGGGGGTTCTGCCTTGTGTGCAGGCCGGTACCTGTGTTTTGTTCCCACTGCCATTTGCGTCAGGCATCGCTATTGTATGGTAGGCTCATTTCTGGGAGCCATTGGTATGATCCACGGTGTATTGGTGTTGTGAGTTGACATCAATGGTATTTTCCAGTAGATGTCCTTTTTTTTGTTTTTTTTGTTTTTTTTGTTTTTTTTGTTTTTTTTGTTTTTTTTGTTCTTTGCACTTTTATTTTTTCTTTATTGGTGTGGTGTATTGATGCTATCATGTGTTGGTGCTTTGTATTGGTATTCTCCATGGTATTATCCATGGTGCTTTTTGGTATTATGTGTTGGTAGAGCCTACCGGTACTCGTCATAAGTATTGTTCATTAGGATGCATTGTCATCGCTTATTAGCAATCTGTATTGGTACTATTCATGGCATGATGAATTGGTGCTATGTGTGGGTGGTTTCTACTTGACTTGTGTATTATCACGTATTGCTGTTATGTATTGGCTTTCTTTGTAGGTCTTACTGGTATTGTGGATTGGTATTCTCCCTGGTATCATGCATGAGTACTATGTGCGGGTGTTTTACATTGGTATGATGTATTGGAATATATTGGTAATTTTGATAATTATTATGTATTGGTATTTCTGATAATTATGTATTGGTATAGGCATCGATCTTGTTCAGTAGTTACATCGATTGGTATTACTAGTACTATGTACCGGACTAATCCATGGTGTTTTGTATTGGTGTTATCGATATACATGGCGTTATCCCTTAGTCCTATGTGCTGGTAAGTTTTACTTATTGTTATTGTGTATTGGTTTCGTATTGTGTATTGATATCATCGATAGTCATTATCTACCATTGGTATTATTCAGTAGTATTAGGTATTACCATTACTCATTGGTGTTACGTATTGGTATTATGTATTATGTATTGGTATTATGTATTTGATATTTCCCACTAATTTCATAAACTGGTGTTATCAATTAGGCTTATGTGTTGGTATAACCCATTAGTATCGGGAATCAGTGTTGTCCATAGTATTATACATTAATATTCTTCATTGGTACTGCCCACAGTAGTATTTATGGTTCATCCATAAATTTATTGATGGTAACATTTATTAGTATTATGTATTGAATCCAACCATGACATTATGTGTAGCTATTCTGTGTTGGTATTATGTGTTGGTATGATGTATGGTTACTACTTCACAACGTCAAACTAAGGTCAAGCTCAACTGGGTGTTCTTCCCCGCTAATTTTGCCAAGCCCGTTCCCTTGGCCGTGGTTTGGCTGAGAAGTAGACAGAGATAGTGGCTGTCTCGCTAATCCATTTAGTCCCGACATTTAACTAGGTGACGAGGCATTTGCTACCCTAATAGAGCCATAGTGACTTCCGCTATTTACCCGTACTTGGTAATTTCTTCACTTTAACATTCGGAGAAATGGGCAGAAATCACACTGCATCAACGCTTTCTGACCATCGCAATGCTATGCTTCAATTCGACAGTCAGATTCCCTTGTCCGTACCAGTTCTTAGATAGTTGTTGGTGAGATTAGGGTAATGAGGGGGTGGGGACAAAAAAACGGAACGTGTTTTATGTCCTTCTCAAAGAATTGTTCCAAAATCAAGTTGGCCTTATCCTTGAGGTAAAATGCAAGCTTAAGATAGGCGTAGCTGTCCGACGCTTTCTTGCCCAACTGGAATAAGTGCCACCCGTACTACTTCTTGATTCTCATGGAAAAAGAGTTGAAGTACTTGTTTTAGTGCGATGGCCTAGCTGATGTTGGCACCGTTCTTTTGAACAGTGAACTTTACCTTGACTTTGGAAAAGGCGTGACCCAAACCCAACTTGGCTCTCTCGATGACACCCTCCTGTGAGTCCTTCAAGAGCTTGAGGCCGTGGACACGGATGTATTTCGAGAAGCCCTGAGCAATATTGTTGAACAAGCTGTCGACATATGGGGTGACCCAAGTTTTGGACCGAAACACCCACAGTAATTCTCTCCTTTTCGAAAGCATTGAGCAAGCTCAACTTTAACACAGACTTTAAGTAGTTTTTCACTCACATCTCAGAGACATCTTTGGCATTCTCCAAAGCCTGGACAGCGCCTTTGAAGAATGCAAACAAAACAAGCTCAATCATTTTACAAAATTTGCCCAAGTCCAGCAATGCGTCTTGAATCTCCCTCAGTCTGACAGCAATGTACCCACAGTAGTACATACGTAAACTAGTTCATGGTATTATTCATTTATATTATACTATATCCGTGGTATTTATTGTATAATGTATTGATATTACTTTATCCATGGTATGATCCATTGGTATTACCATCCACATCATCCGTTTCTATCGGCTCTTCACAGTAGCCATTCATAGTCGTCTCAAAAGACACATTAATGTTCGACCGTTCATATTAACTCAGTCAGTATCCCTACCTGCTAATACCGCCCATTCATAGACCCCACCCAAAAGGGTGTTCATACCGGCAGCTGGTACGGTCCATTTAATTTGGGTTTCTCTTCCAACTAGCCAATAATCTTTTTTATTAGCTGATCTTTTTCAAACGAAACAGATTTTTTAGCTTATCATGAAGGTGGAGCACTTCGTTATTGCAATTATTAGACCTCTAAATAAGTTGTTGCTCATTACAACTCAATAAAGTTCAATTCTAATTGCCGCACTTTTTGGGTATTACTTTGATCTTCTTAGTTGCTGGTTGTGACTGTTATCATCAATATCTGCGTGCTTGAAATCCATTAAAATCACACTACTATATGAAAACCTTACATACTCTTGTCAAGCCTAACATTCACACTATGAACTTGAGCAAGGTGTAATACCAATGGACGCAAGCATTCAAAGTCTCCAAGTAGTAACTTTTGGCTGCAATAATACTACTTTTGACACAACACCGCTCTTGGTATCCATTTCCACTTTACTCGGAAAGCTCTGGTTCTTCGACTAGGCCATAAACGCGAAAGAAGAAAGGCAATATTGCAACACTTTCTCACACCACCATCGAGTCCAATGTCAATAGAAAGCGTGATTTGATGCATGCATTCATTGCATGTGAAATTTGTGACAGTTACAAGGCTTTTAGGGAAGCTTTGTTTTTGGGTATGGACAAAAAAAACACAGAATTCGCTGTCATCATGAATTTCAAAATAATATATTCTGGAATTCGCCCTAATTGATGTTTCGAATATTTCATCATGTCACCTTGCAATGCGCTACGTGTTTAATCTCAAACTCTCTTGGTAATATCCCCATAAAAGATTGCAATGTGTCAAAAATATCTGACATGTTGCTCGTGTGGTACTGCACATCGCAAGCTTGGCCAATGGAGTACTGAAAAGTTACTCATCGTAGGGAGAGGATTCTCCTGCTCCCTAGGGGTTGATTATATAAATGCTAGTCAACTCCTCGTATATTTATACAGATATCTCTATCATTATTATAACAATGCCTATAAAATGCACAGGTAGTCTTAGAAACTCCTGGCTTCATAAATGCTTGTCAGTGGCTTCCGCTATCGAAGCTGGAGACAATCAATTCTAATCATTACCTTTGAAAGAAGCAATGAATGCACCCACAATTTACCGAGTGCAGAACTATTTTACTTTTGCGGGTATGCCACTTTTTTCGTATGCAAACATTGTATACTTCGTTGTGTATTTTCCTTGAGCTTTGAGGCGTAGGTCTTTTCTTTTTGTTTTTTTGAAGATACGGTCAAAGGACATCCGAGGCATAATTTTTTGAATCAAGCTGGGCAGATTTTTCCGGAAGTGATACACACTTCAGTCACGCTCTCAAAGTCAGTATCAATACTTCTGGATTGGGAATCAAAAAGCCCATCGTCGCTTATACTTGCCGCTTAGGGATTGGTGAGATAGAAAAATACAGTTTGATACAGTTTGAGATTTAAACGAAAACTACTTTCCCGACAAAAAATAAGAGCACATTCAGAAGAGACGCTTAAGGCCAAGAATCTTGAACATAAAGCCAATGGAAATATCAACTGCGGTAAACTCACGTCGACCTTTGTCTTCTCAGCGAGACAGCTTCGGGTACAAAAAAAAGTGAATTCGTAATGTACCTGGCTTTGATGATGGCAGACGGGGCCTGCAGAACCAGCTTGCAGAATTAATCGAGATTACTTACATGAAAAGACACATGCAAGATATATTGCCGAAAATAAAAGCAAGCTTATCGGGGCCCGACAAGCACGAGCACTCGAATGTGTCACAATTTTTTTCATTGCCAATACGTGCACACTTTCCTGGTGTAAAGTACGCTCTCTTATTCGCATATATGGCAGTTCATATCCACAAGTTTTAATTATCAGAAAGGAGTCACTCAACGACCATTTTGTAGGATTTGATGTTCGTGTATTGATCACCATTGCGTGCAGACTTCCGCATTGAGTCAGACTTCTGTCCGTCAGATAAGCTCATACATGTCCAAGATGATCTAGCATATTCGTTGGAGTAAAAAAACCAGCATTTCGATCGGATCGTTCCCCATACATTTGATTTCACAAAACAAAACTATCTCATTACTCAAATATCACCTCGCCTAGAGCCAAGTCATTAAACATCATTTTCCGTCTGCATCTAAAAGTCTTTATATAGATGACTTACGATATCGATCACTTGAAAACATTGCCTTTTGCAGACCGCACGTACGCGACCACCCCTAGAGTCAAAGACAACTTCATATTCAATCTTGCCAAGACGGACGAAACTGTCACCTTAATCACTGCCCACGATGCTGATGAGATGCCCTCAGGGTTGCTTCATCTGGCATGGAACGAAATGAACTTTGTGATTCGTGAAGGCCGGACATATCCACACTACTTAGAGTTTTCGTACGACGATTTCCTTGCGTACTTCTTTGAGGGTTTTGCTGCGATTTTGGTTGAAGGTAGATATGAATCCACATGGGAGAGTGAATCGCAAGATTTTTGGGACCAGAAGTACTTGGGACATTTCTACATCAAGCCCAACTATATTGGCCGATGCCTGCATGTGTGCAACGCTGGGTTTGTTGTGAATCATGGTCGTCGGGGCTTGGGACTTGGCAAAGAACTTGGCAAGCAATACTTGACTATTGCACCCAAGCTAGGTTATGTATACCTGGTGTTTAATCTTGTTTTCGAGACAAACTCAGCAAGTTATAAGATATGGGAATCCTTGGGCTTTGAGCGTATCGGGTACGTGAAAAATGTTGCGATGTTGAAAGGCGAGGACAAGTTGGTGGGTGCCTTCATGTACGGCAAAGACCTCAATTAAGCCACCATCAGCTACATATGTTTGGGAACAAAAACATTATGAATCCATATAGTGAAAACCCACTAAGTCTCAAGATGCCATTCTTTTTTTTCAGAAACATTAGGCCGTGACATGTTCTTTACTGGCGAGACCGCTACGTATCAACAAACCTGGTGTTCTTGATAAAAGCGAATGTAGAGTAGCTCGTGATTGAAAAAGCCAGGCAATGTGATAATTCGATAGCATGATTGGATCATACGCTGGTGTGATCAATTTACTGCAGCTTTCAAAGCTTGTTCTCCCTATTGCTTGCTAGATCTCACCAAAAAATTAGAATTGGCTTTCGAGATGCTTTCTCAGTCCACTTCTGATCGATGAGATATATCTGATACGGTGTTTTGAATTCGCGATACTGTGAAGGACGGTATTAGAGCTTTGTCTGGCAATCATACAATAACTTATAGGTTCAAGTTAGTACTTGATAGAACATATGAAACACTATTT